AGAAAAAAAACTTTTAAAGTATAAATGTGAAATACAACAACTCTCAAATTCCCTACCAACCACTGACCCTCTTAAAAAAGTTCAGTGAAGAAACTTTTCAAGGATTGAACTTTGAAGGCTTGAAGCAGCTTAAGAAGCAGGTGCAGATTGCATCAAGTTCCAGAATGGGAAAATAGTGCTCGCCCAACAAACACACAGCCTTGGCGTCCACCGTTATTCTATATGGACTTCCACACTGCAGTGGACACGCATCTAATCTCACGTTTCCTCATAAGCCATTTTTTCCACCCAGAGATCTAGGAGTGTTCTGAACATCATCCATTCAATATTTCCAATCATTTATCTTCTCATCTCCTTCTATCTTCATGCATCTGAGCCTGTCACTGTTATACCATATAGTATCTGGATAACCATTACACTGAATAATATTTTTCCTATATATGTCAAAATTATTACTTGATTCAGTTGCATCCAGAGTGTGCAGTGGCGTAAACTTAGGGAAAAAATCGCAAGCGTAATACACATATATACAATGAATGCAATAAAGTGTGGCAAAACCTAATCTTGGTTGTTGGCGGAGTTCATTTTAAATAAATGCGCGGCCAAGTACATGCAAGCTATATTTTGTGAAATTTGCCAGTGAAATTTGCAACGTCTCTAGTCAAAACTATCATCAATCGCAACGTATCGTGCAATTTGATATTTTGTTTACCATTTAAATAAAGTTTTCAAAGAAAAAAGGCCAAAAAACGCCGCATTATCATTTTTTCCTTTTCAATTTCAAACGAAAAGCGCGCAGTGCCTCAGTCAGGTGGTTGATGTTGTCTGTTAGCGAGATAAAACATTTGTCTGTAATTCCAAAAATATTCAGCTCAGTGGTCAGGGATGATGAATTTCGACAAATTAATTTTTACAAATATATTAATTATACTTGAATACTGGAATAAACCAAAGGGCCTAGAGCTACCTTCACCCATTTTGGGTTTGCGCTGCCAACTTGCTGCATGCTGCACGGACTGTAAAACAATTGCAAAACCTGGTCCTGATATTTCGCAATTCGATTTTATTCGAGCACAATACAGGGTGTCCCAAAAAAAAATAGCAACCACTTAAATATGCAAGACATTAAAACAGCTCTAAAGCGCAATAGATAAGCACCTCTGGGAATTGAAAATGGCTCTTAATCCTTCATTTACAATGCTAAAAGTCATTTTAGCTGAACTATGGTGCAAACCCGAACAATATTAATATTCTGGCATATTTAAGTGGTTGCGTTTTTTTTGGGACCGTGTATATAGCATTCGTGGAAACCAAACATCTATGACAGCGAGTCGGTGACGCAAACCACAAAATTGAGTATCACTTGCACTGAAGATTAGAAGAGCACATACATGTAACTCGTTAACTTTAACTTAACTTTCAAATAAACTGCAGTGTTTATCATTATCCAAACTAGTGCCTGCACGGCACTTAAAACTAGCATATATGCACTTATGTAATATTTCCAGTCAGTGTTAGATACTTCTAGAATTCATAAAAATACAATGAATAATCATCTGCTTGTTACAAGCTGTTATTTTATGATGTTCATCACAATAGCTACATTACGTGTACAGGCTTAAAAATTTTCGGGGTTCAGGCGAATGATTTCAGCAAAAATTTCCCATGCCACGAGAACAAATTACCCCACTTACCATGCATTGATTTGGGCAAAAATTGTCCCGGAATTTTGCGCGCGGCGCGATTTCTTCCCAAATGCTTTACAAATGAAATTCTCCCATCTGATAATCTTTATGTATTGGGTATAAGCCTGAAATAATACCGAAGGTATCTATCTCGTCGGCGTTTGTCGGTTTGTGCCTTGTGAGGCTAATATTAAACAACTCAGTCGCTCTTTTGAGAATCCTATTCTTTTCGGTTTAATATTATACACACGTTAAAATTAACACCACTTCGCAACCTCTTTTCAGTACCTCAGAAAGAAGTTTAGCGCAGCGATAAATCAATCCTATAGTATTTAAGCGGGTATCTGTAAATTCTGATCAGGTAACTCATGCTAACGAGATTCGAAGCATTAACTCAGTCAATTACTTTCAGCGCCAGGGAGCTACGCTGTTTATCGAATATCGTATATCCTATAAGCGGATTTGTCTACGTTTAGATAGGATTACGCCAAAACTAACACATACGGAAAACGCAAAGCAAAAAAAGTTATAAGACTTACCTGATACTTTACTGCAAACAGAAAAGTACACACCATTTCGAGCTTCCCAATGCAACGCCATCTTGAATATAATGCTGATAGGGTTCGTAGATCAGCAGAATATTAGAGCCAGATTGGTATTTGTGTCCCAAAACAAAACAACAAAAAACAAAAGACTAAGTCTAAGACAAAGAAAATAGAGCTGGTGTGACGTTTCAGCCTAATTAGCCGGCTAATCTACAGGGTGTCCCAAAAAAAACGAAAACTATTGAAATCACTCATTCTTAAAATTTGAATGCCGTGTGCACGAATTTTAACCCGTGGGGATTTAATGCAACTCAGTGAAATGCTAGATGCTTTGTGTTGCTAGAGAAAGGGGACATGTCAAAGGTCATGGTGATTGAGATGCACATTTAAATATTGTTAATAAATATCATTTTCGCGTACGAGCAAATTTTACTGCATCATATGCATGCATAAAAATGCTTATGGCAAACATTTACACACTTGTGGGTCCCAACAGAGTGCTTAGGCATTCAAACTCTAACAATTACATTGTTATGGGTGATTTCAATAGTTTTCGTTTTTTTGGGACACCCTGTACACACCCTAGTTAAGGTCGTTTACATAACCTGTTTATGACTTTATAGTCGAGATTTAACGAAGCGAAAAATGACTTGACGTATTGAAATGAGTTTATACCAACACAAAGAGGTGCCCATAAAACCCCCAAAACTATTGAAATCACCAATTTTTTTAGTATCATTAAAAGGATTTCTCTAGCCCGGGTTCAACATTTCCTTCTGGTAGTTCTGTTGTGTCCGAATGGTTTTTAGAATCAACCGTTAGCTCAGCCATGCAGGGATTTCATGAAAAGGCTAGAGAAAGTTTGTTTTCTATAGGACAGGTCCACGTAATTTCATTGTTTATCAGCAAGAATTAACTTCGCGACTAAGCACAATAAAATGGAAACGTGATTCAATCGATTTCCTGCATTGAATGACTGCTGGAAAAAAGACAATACCGAAAAGTTGCACAAATTTCCAAATTGTATAATAATGGCATAAAACAATGAGATGCAAAGCCGTGTTTTCTACGAGGCATGGTTCAAGACATTGACAACAGTGAGCATATAATAACAAATTTCAAACAGTTTATTACTTTACACGTTCACAATAAAACAACCCGAGAAGCTTGTATTGTTAACAACCAATACAACAGTTTTGTGCAGTATAGAAAACATGAAAGCAAGACCTATACTACAACGAAACATGTTGTATATGGTAGTAGATCAAGTCTTTGACATTCTTTACACTGATCACAGAGAATTTTAAAGCTCGCCAAAGCTAGTCTGTCTTGTTGAAATCATCATGCATGTTTGTTGATGATTTAACGTTTTAAATTGAAATACATTCTCAGTTCTCACTCCTAATCAGCCAGCGGATCGATCGTAAAACAAGAACTAGCTCTGAAAGTAATCGGTACGCTACCTCCAAAAAACATGCAACAAGTATTTCTCTATTCTGACAAATATCATTCGCTGATAGTTGGCTAGCCATTGTCTGTACTCAGTTGTAATGGAATAGTTTGAAACAGACTTAAAGGAGAGCTAGCCGGTTACGCAACATAATTGTCATATGGAAACAGTTTATGACAATAGAAGTGAAGAAAATTATTTTAAGAATAAATTAAAAGATAACAAAAACTACATTATTCTGTATCTTAGTCTTCCATGCGACTCGAAGACCATAGGCGTACGGGAGGAACTTCGTTTTGGGGGGCAAAAAAAATCGCCCGAATTTTTTAATCATACAATGTGCCCGAGTTTTAACTTTTACCAGATTTGTGACAATAAACTTGGCAAAGCGCCGGATGTGCTTTCAAGAAAGTGTAACAAAACTGGCCAAATAGAATACACATATCATATGGATATATATTACAAAATTTGGTTTTAAAAACCTCAGCTATGTAACTCTTTTTCAGTTTGCCCGAATTTTCGGCTGAACTTTGCCCGAAAAAAGGCAAGTGCCTTTCATGCCCCCCTGTCTCGTACGCCTATGTCGAAGATCAATCTTAGGTGAAAAATTCTTTTGTGCAACTATTGCAGATTAAATTTAGAGTGAGTCAAGATGTGGATGAGCTGTGAAACCAAAATTTCACGCAATTTTGCGATGACGGACATGCCATGTGTGTTCATGATATTGAATACACATTCACCAAAGATATTTTTTTAAAAAACTACTAAACCTTGAGCAATCTGATTTTAACAAAAAGAAATTCTGAAATCGGGTCTCAGGCCTGTTTTTAACGTCGTCCTTATGACGTGCCGAACGCATTTTATACTAGAATAGACATAAGAAATTTTATTAAATTAGATAATGTTTTCAATGCATTCGTCACGTGAGAAGCACGAGGACTGGACAGGCCTGAGAAGTGAAACTTTATAAAGACTGGAACGAAATCCGGAAAGATAAATGTTAGTCAATTTACAATCTCGTTCCCCGAGCCCGCGATTTTCTCGGGCGAGGAAACAAAGGCCTGGGATAATCGAAATTGGAAATGATGCTCTAAATATGGCGATTAAGTTAACGTTCCAGTCAATTTAGAGTTCAATCGGCCTTGAAAAATGAAGTGACAATAAAAATAGAAAGAAATACTCCATTCATTGTCATGGCTTTCCATTCTTTTGAAATGAAACAAAACAATAGCCCACTCTTCAATAGACCTTTTTCATAATGACGTCAAACGCGGAAAGTCTGACGTTACACGAAGTTTGATTGGCTCGATAGTTTTGTGGAGCCAATTAAATTTCGTGTAACATCAGACTTTCCGCGTTTGACGTCATTATAAGAAAGGTCTATTAGCCGTGTTGAAGCGGGCGTGCACGTGATCGGGAAGAAGAAAAACTCTAATTTGTGTGAGACATTTAAATAACAATATTTACATTCTAACCAAGTACAGAATACTCCATTGCTGGCCACCTATACCGCTGGAGCCTGCTTCCATTTGGCAGTCGCTTGTCGCTACCATGTAAAACAGTGTAATCACAGTCTTTACGATCAGTGAAGAGTGGTTTTCATACACCACACAAGAGGCAAGACAAATCGTTGGATAGCGAGAGGCAACGACCAAATGGAAACTAGAAAGCTTAAACATCAACAGGAATAGTTTGCTTCAATAAATCCAAAAATATAAAATCTATCCTAAAATTACAAAAGAACATTTTCCCCGGCAATAAAATACACACCAAGCAAGACATAATTGGAATTTTATCACAGAACTTGACACACTGATTTGACTTATAACCGTAGCGATTGCAGTGAGATTATATTAACGCACCTAATAATTCGCGGTGGCTTTCCAATCTCAACAGACATCATCCGAAATTATTCTCTTGCAATGAAAACTGCCCAATTAACAATAGATCATATTGCCCGCCTCGATTTCAGGCTATTGTTTTGAGTGCACTTAGGCAAATTCGTTAAGTTTCCATTGACTCCCACATCGGAAATATTTATCGTCAAAAAAGGCGTTTGACCCCATTTTATGGGCGAAATAAGTTCTTCGGGAAAAAATACATTCTCCGGTGGTGCATCCACTAAAACAAATTAATAATTTCTACCAACATGTAAACCCACTGAAAAAGACAAAAAGCTTCTCTTTTCGCAGAGGACAGTTTGAACCTATGAACTAAAATAAATTACCTACAATCCCCTTCCTGCACAGCAGGAACACAGATACTTCCTTTATTCAAACTGCGCTCTCCAATTACAAATGCCACAATGATACCATGGTTCATGGTGGAACATCAATCTTACTCTCAAACAGATTGTGAGGCATGGCTTCTTTTTCGAGACATCAAATCAATTATCATTCATGCAACCAACCAGATATTCCATTGACATAAATCGATGGCCACATCCATTTCTTTTTCATGATCTAATGCAAAATATTGTTGTTATATGATGTGCATATAGCAACTATAGGCAGGGCCGTAGCTAGAAGCTTAATTAGGGGGGTGTATATTTATATATTCATCTAATGCCCGACTGATTTCCTTTGTACGCTATTGTTCTAACTGTATATAAACATGAATATATGAATATACACCCCCCCCAATTAAGCGGTTTAGCTACGGCCCTGACTATAGGTATACTAGCTCTATACTATACGAATACAAAATTTTATATTAACCTAAAAAAGATCCATAAAAATTATTTTGTTTTGAAGTCAAAAGTACTTTCAGAGACCTTAAAACAGACCGTCATCAGAATGGTCCTTTGTTCTAAATGTTTAGAAACTAATCTGTACTAACTGTAACTAACTGTAAAGATATCGTGCAGAAACTAACCTTTGATACGCGACAACAGTCGGATAACTGGCAGCTCGTGATTCATCCATTACTACAGCATCTAATTGTGCGAGATTTGTCGCTTGCACATGGATTGGAGATTGTCCAGGTGAAACAGCCTGAACCGTCTGCCCGTGTACTGCAGACTCATTACCATCACTACTCAAGGCAAGTTCCTGAAAACACGGAGCATACTTAAAAACCTCGCATCATTATCATCGTTTAAAACAACGCAATCTATTTAGGCAGTGTGTATATACGCATGATTAGCGTCGGGATATCTAATTTAACGTGCTATTCTTAGCAAAATGTACAGTTCTTAGGCTTTTTATTCATGTAGTTCTTAAAACCAATAAATACACCTGCAGGTTCTCGATGCATCAATAAATAAATGAACTAATGAATAGATTTTTACCTCTAATGGTACTTGAACCAAATGGTGTGACTGTGCATTCTGCAACATATGGTGCCATGCTTGTTGAGATGGATATCCAGTTGACAATGTACCAGCGATAAACGGCTAAACGGATGCATTAGATATAATGAAAACACACAAGGCAATTTTTTCAATTTGTTACAGTTATGCTCTAAACTCTTACGCTCTCTCCATTTAATAGTTATGCCAGTCAAGTCAGACTATAAATTCTATCACTGTATCAAAGAAATGTTTTTGCAAAGAAACGTTCTCTTGATTTCACCAAGATTTTTTCAAAAAGACTTACATTTCCTGACACATGCATGTGATGAAGCTGGTTAGTCATTTGTTGTACGCTATTTGGGTGCATTCCTTGTTCAACACTTCCTGTTGGGCTGAGCGGAAGTTGACTCTAAAATAGTGGGAGGCAATCTATTCACACAACGCGTATTCCGTGTACATTAAGCAAATTATCTAATTATCTGAAACTGCTAAAAACTCATGGATTTCTTTCAGGAATTGTACATTTTATGTTGGCGACTTTCATACGACTCACAGTTAAGATAGGTTTACCTGTACAGGTGTTTGAAGAGGAAGGTACGCCGGACTGGTAATGCAACCGCCTTGCCAAGCAGCATACTAGAAAGAAAATATTGTTAAGAAAAAAATAGCGTAGGAAAGTCATCGCAGTGTAGAGAGGTGTTTATACAATTGTCTTGCATGGAGCATGCCACGTATGTTTCGCAAATCAATCTTACCTGCTGATAGGTTGCTTGCAAGCCAGTTGTCGAGCCTTGAGGAAAGCTACCCTGGAAAAAGAAGTAAAAAAGCAGGTTTAAAACACGCGGCGTTTTTTTAACCGTATACCCTATAACATTTTAACTTCACGAAATAAATGAATAAATATCTTACCGCTGCTAAAGATGAATGGGTAGTTGGGACAGATGTTGGCACCGCCATATTGATTCGCCTTAACAATTAGGGAATGAATGAATACACATCGCTTAGCAAAACTCTGTTTTTATATCTAATTAAGTTTTAAGTTCTTTCTTAAAAGATTTTTCAAGATTATGAGTTGAGCTAAAAGCAAGATCTCATTACAAAGTAAGGTTTAAAGTATTCAAAACAGACACATAAAAACTATAATAAATTAACTTTTTGACGTGTAAGGCTTACCCATTCATAGTTTGAATGTCATATGTCATCTTTGGCGGCTGGAAAATAAAGCAAGACAAATACAATGATTCACATAAGGATATAAACGTTAAACTAGCCTAGTGTATATTTATCATGATAGCCAAAGAAGCCTCTCGCAATAGCAGAGCCTTCCTCAGGAACTCGGCGATGACACTCGTCATGGAAAATGAAAAGTCATGCATCAAAAAAGCTGATAACAAGCAGACAAGACGTATATACCTCCTTTAATGGTCCACGCCAGCCTCTATCTATGGAGAAAGAAAAAACGTCGAAATTGCTTGTGGAGGTACAAGTAATTAGATCGGCAAATATAATTAGCTGTGTGTCGTTTTTCACGTGGCAATGTATTTTATAAGCCATAGATTCATGAAATAGTATTCAGAAATTTACCTGGAGACTGCTTGGCTTTCTTTGGGCCACCGTCGGCGAATTTTACAAGTAAGGCATCTTGTGAGCCTAGATTGAAAGAAAATTATTTGAGTAAACATGAACGCCCAATTCATGCATGCCATGCATATGAGATATGATACCAAATCTCATTACTCTTGCCTTTTAAATAGGTTCCATTATGCTTCATAATAATTTTTTCACATATTTCTTTAGTTTCCATTCTAAATAAATAAATGTGGATTACATACATTAATGCACATAGTTTTAAAAAGTACACTCACATCTTACATGCAGAGAATGCTGTTAACATTTCCTGCAAGTTAACAAAGAAAACTCCATGGACAAGTTTTCATTTTCAAGATATAGACTGCTGAGGATGGATTACTGATATAGATAGATCAAAATTGCGTTGTTTATTCTTTATGATTTTCAATATTTTATATGAATAAACGCAGAAGTCAAGGTGTAAACCTTGAGCCGTAAGGGTTGCTTTTCCTAAAGGCCCAAATTGCATTCAACGCAATTCAGAAAGTTCAAAGTTGAAATATTTCCGGGAGAAAGTGCACCCCCCACAGCAGGATCTGTTATTACAGAAAACCCGTTATTCAGAAACTTACAAATAAAATAAAGAACAACAACCACAATTATAGTGGCCTCCTACTGAATAATACCTTGCAAAACCAACTCCTTTGCTATAGGAATTTGTATCTCTAAGTATTCTAGTCGATATTACTGTTCCGTAAGGTGAAAGCATTTTCTCGAGAATCTAAAAAAAAAGAGTGTTATACGGAAAAATATTACAAACATGCTCTGATTTTTTTACATTAGTTCAAAATATATCAATTTTGATACTTACAGTTTCATCAAAATGATAAGGAAGATTTTGAAAATATAAATTAGTAGGATCTTGTTCTTGTTGCTAAACAAAAGACACAAAGCAATTTTAACATAGTACAAATGAATTAGCTCCTTCATTCTTCTATCTTTCACATTAGGAAGAAAAAATTGAGTTCACTGCATTGAATGGTTGTTGATGTCTCGAGGATTAAATACAGTATAATACATAAAAAATAATAACCTTAGCCATCTGTGCTTGAATTCCTTTGGCCGTTAACGCAGCGACTGCTGTTTGTGCAGAATGTGGATGTTCAAAGTCCACAAACCCGTAGCCTATACAAATTGCTAATTGTTAATTCTGCTGTAGTTATTGTCAAGTTTATCATCGTGTATATACGAGGATACTAAAACACAGATAACATGCGGGCTCTTAGAATAAGATGAAGGAGAGCAAAAAAAGAAATTCTTGAAAAAATAAAACAATTTGATGATAAAACAATAAACATGCACGTATTTATGGCATTTCATGTTCTCTTTGATCCTATATCCAACATGAAATAAAATGCAAACGATCTGGTATTGACAGACTCGAACAAAACACGTCTTATATAAGAAACAAATTAACGCTCTCAAATAAATAACTCGTTAAATTCTATCTGCAACTTATTGTGGGGTATAGACTGCATAAAGATCTGCTCTAGAAACCATAAGAAAAATAAAAGCACACGTACACAGGTTTGAGTCTTTGTGTAATATTGCTTTAGTAGATATTATTGTTCCATAACTGAAAAAGATCATCATTCATTTAGATATTTTATAAACGACATAATCACCGGACATTCTTAAAACACAGAGTTCACGGGGGGACATGTCGCAGCTCTCGGAAGCTTTCGTCGAATTGGATAATGCTTTTGTATATGCTTTCTAAAGAACGAAGCTATGCTATTGGTTGAAACAGAAATGTATTGTAAAGTTCAGCCAATGAAAGTCATTCTTGCGAGAAACTGCGACACTACCCTCCACGGGATCTATAATTAAGAATACAATGGAACGCAACAACTACTTGGCGCACTGGGTCTAGAATTAAGGATCGAGGCAGGCAAAAATTCTATAACAAATATAAATTTGGGTTTGACAGTCCATTGGGTTCGTGAAACAAAAACATAATACTAGGTAATGATAATGCCGGCTTATCACCACCAAAGAAAAGCTTTCGTTGCATGGCAGCCGGAACACAAACCCAAGATAATTCTTTTGATAAACTCATTGCACGACCATCTCTTGGTCATGAGCCACTCCCCTGACTCCTCAATCAGATAAATATGGAACAATTAAATATGGGGAGCAGTGGATAACAACCCTGTTTAAACCAACCCGCTTAGCCAAGATTACACGAAGCACGAAATGACTTTGAGGTATTGAAACGAGTATATCAACAAGATACTGGCAATGGTGGAGTCATCCTAGCAATAACATGTGTTTGTTTAGTTCAATAAAGACTAATTCTAATACCTCAAAATTATCTCACGCTTCTTCGAATCTCGGAAAACCATGTAAACAACCCCTAGGTAACTGGGTAAAATCTTTGAGTGCAAAACTTACTCTTTACATAACATGACCAAATCCTCATCTGTCGTGGACGCTTTTAATCCTCGTATATACAAATTAGTTTTACTGAGTTTCTCTGTTGAACCTGTCGAGCTGTCGCTACTTGACCTTCGGGCGCCGTTCATACCGCCATTCACTGCCGGAGGGCTCATATAGCTTGGCTGTATCAAAGTAATAAGAACTGGTGTTTATACGAAGCCATGCAGCGTGAGATTCACGTATGTAGCTACTTGCATGCTCAGTCTTGTTTTAGCTTACGAAACGACCGATGATCACTGAATTAAAATGGCTAAAAATTGAGATTATTTACTAATTTCCTTTAGTGAAAACCTGTTAACAATATATAAAACTGAATGTTGGGATATTATAACTGATAAGTCTCCAGATAGACGAAGATATTATCATTATGTAGCATTTTGATTGGCTACGCTACTCGTATACCTAAAAGACAACGAGTATGGCGAAGAATCGTGTTTTTCCTCGTGATTTCGTAACAAAGTTTTCACGCAGGAATAGTCCAATCCTCTGGAAATATTGTTTTATTGCAAGCTGTTCTCGTGTTGATTTCTATATGATATGATTGTTACACTCCCATCTCATACAGGGTAATCTCGATCTCGTAATCTTATTGTTAATTAGCACAATCACCCGAACATAGATACACAACGGTGGAATCGCACTAGTAGACTATACTAAAATAACGTTCGGTTTAAACTTTTGTGTATGAAAAACGTCTTCCCTTTGTATATTTCTACTTATGTTCCTTACACAGAGCAATGACGCTGTTTTAAGACTTCATAAGATAACATCATGGTAATCACATGTTTGCTAACAGTTGCAAAACAGCTGCTAGTTAAAATACCCCAACCAAGATATCAAAATTCATATCTCAAACACGTATAGCTACATAGTAAAGCATGTAAGAATGAAAGATGCCCGAACTGGATTTTCTTGAGTTACACTACTTCTTATTTCAGTTAATTTTTCCTTGATTACTTGCTATATAGTTGACCACTCTCATTGACAGGAACAGCGATAATTGCATGAATGAACCGAAATTAACATTTCCTACAAGTATGGAAACCATCCTGGTGTAGAAAGTGAACATGAAATATTTCTTATTACAACTTGATATTTCCTTTCGATGAGCTGAATGACACAGCTACGAAACTCTTTATTTTCGCGCCAAACACCGTGCTGTTTACATATACGCCACCCGCAGGGAAACTCGAGGTGCGTTGCATGGGTTTTGAATATTTGTCGAAATACTTGGACTTCGTAGTTGTAGAATGATGACATACCTGTTGGTAGGCTGGGTAATAGTTCGCAGTCTGATAACCATAGTTAATAGGCCAAGGCTGTTGATATCTTGGATAGTGGTTTGGCTGAGCTTGATAACGACTGCGAGGAATATAGTTATTATTTCGAGGCTAAAAAGCAAAGTATATCCATGGTTACTATTGTATGCAGATACACAGTGAAACCTACACTTACAGACAGGCAGTTAAAGCGTGCGTGTGTATTCACATTTAACCGCTGCAAGCTTACAATAATTGGCCATCGTTTTTAGTCATATCAGGTTCCGCCAAATCAGTTGGATAGATTAAAAAATTACAGCCTGTTTTCATTCCGCACACGACAACACCTCATCAGGTCACACTGAAACCATCACTGCAAACAAGATCGATGATAACGTTTTACCTTATTTTGATTCAAGACGCTTGCCTTCTGCTTTTTGTGCGACGGAGACTGACGGTGTTTCTGCAAGTTAAATAAAAATAATAAAAATATAAATTTTTCGCGCCGATTTACAACTCCAAAATATATATATGGTATATATGGATTACAATCAGAAAATGAAACAAATCCAAGTCTAACTTATCGACCGGCTCGATGCAACCTTTGAAGCCAAGAGGCACACCTTGAATACCAAGAGGCACATATGTATACAACACAATTCATGTAATGGATAGTTGCCTATTCCTGCATGCATGCTGGCAATATCCGAGTGGAGTCCGCATGGGACGGCAATAGACCTTATCAAATCACTAGCAAATGTTTTAATCGTTGACTGCTAATTTAACGGCAAAAACTCGCTGTGCTAAATGGTGGTTCGAAGAACGCTGGAAAGAAAATACCTCACATGTCACGAAAATCGCCGACTTGTTATGTAGCACAACGATTTCGCACCTTTTTGATTCATCGTGTTTCCAGGAAACCCGCGCCAGCACCACGAGAAATACACATGCAGGGATAAAACAGGGCACGTGCAATACACAACCACATCACTCCACATGAGTGATGCACAATCGCTGTAGTCTAAAAATAATCTCATGCAAAAGCCGAGAGATTACTCTTCTGTAAACATGCTTTTTGTGCAAGTACATTAAATCGGAAATCGGAATAGCATTACGACAAAACCGGAAAGGGTAATATCATGTCTTGTAAACTGATTTAAAATAGTTTAGAAGAAGGCTCTAACCGAACTGACTTCAAAAGGCCTATCATGCTGGTCAAACCATTGACTGAAAAACAGAAACGTGATACACAAATTGCGGTTTTCAAAACTACACCGTGGACAAAGTTCAAGATGACTTCAAAGTAGCATTACATGCTTCACAAGATATAGTTTTATATAATGTGAACAGGAAATAGGTGCATGCACTTAATGAGAATTAGCTTTGTAACTTGTGAGACAAAGCGTTTGGAGAGCATTTTAATTTGCAATTTCAAGTGTGAAAAAATATGTAAATGAATAGGAGTAATTGAGGTCTTAAACAAGAAAGGTATTTTTCCAATGATCATTATGCATGCATAGACTAATTGCAACATATTCCGAACATTTTAAAAAGATATTTTCCTGGAAATGCAGAGAAAATGGCAGCAGTTCGTAAAAGCAGTTGGCGAGTGAGGCTCTGGAACGAGCTGACGCATCATCATTATGCAACAAATGCCTAATCTCGTACTTAGGCTTTTTTTCACTCAACTTAATCAATTCGAATATACATTGGTTTAAAAATATAAGCAAACATTGTGGAATTAGTATTTATTGCTGCCAGTAGCCACTAGCTGTCATCTCGTGCAGTTTACTGTAATTTACAAATTGTTTTGAAGAAAACTACCTTTGATAAAAACGCAGCTATATTTAAAAACATATGTTGGCGGTCGCGAAGTCAATTCATATTGAAAATAATTTCAAAGCGCTCTCTTTCATAGGTCATTTAAAATAACCTAATCTTGAACAAAAGCAAGGTCAAGGACCACGCTACTAGACTGACTTATACCACATTGAATAGGTTTTTGTAGTGTGCGAAAATATAACATTCTTTCTGTTTTCAATACGTAAGTATCCTAACAGAATAAGAAGGGTTGCTTGGTGAAACCGAAAATATCAATTTTGGATACACAATACTGACAACGGTAACGATCTCATATAAACCTATGCCCTCTTTACACGGACGGGTTTTCATCGACAAAATTCATGTGGCAAGCATATATTTTGCCTGTGTGTACGAGGAATTTGTGATAGATTTGTCACGGAAAGTGAATTTAGACAAAAGATCGAATGCAAATTTTCCATATCAAAGCAATCAAGGCAAAGAAAATTTGCTTGTGTAAAAAGATCTTACTGGGTTTAACGAACTGTTTAAACAGATCATAACACCCAATATATATTTGTATCACATTTTATCGCGAGTTGATATTATGTATAGGCGTGTTTTCCCATAACAGTTGACATGAGAAATAATGAAAGTAAATAATTATATCACATTCCTAATACTCAAAACCAACCAAAAATCTGCGATGGCCGCCCTTATAGTTCGGACGAAGTATACAATCTAAACTATTCGGCAACTCGTTGTTAAATGATGCTTATCTTGCTATACACCGTCATAAATTTTCCGCGTAAGGTCAAGGATGTTTAGGCTGGCATTGGCTTTAACTCTGTCGGGTGAACATACAATGTCAGGCGACAGACGAGAAATATATCGTATGTACAAAACATATATTGCTACTCCTTTGATACAATAAATTGTACAAAAACCAAAGACTGAAAAACCGCGAATACAATTCACACATATAGTTAAAATAATATTAAGATCCCGTCTCCTAGTGATTGAACGCATGCACACACATACATACACACTCTCTTTACGTTGAAAGTCTGGCATGAGATTTTCATATAGGCATGCTAAAAAGTGATGAAAGACTGAGGTTCAATGTCATATCTGGAATGCAATCGAATGTCGTCAAAATACAAGCGATTGAACTTGAGAAAATACTTGTTAAAAATTCATATCATTCCGTGGCCATACTGTGAGGCACGAAAGAATCTTGAATGGTAATAATTTAATGAACGACGGCGATGAAGCTACGCTGTTTGTAGCGCAAAGGGCAATATTTCACCGGCAGGAAGGACTTCTTCCGGTAAGAAATTATCAAAACACTGGATTGACCTCAGACCGTAGTACGACCGGACATAAGAATGTACATTCAACTTAGGCTTAACTAAAATCAAACTGGCCACACGTAACGATAGACGCTTGCTACATATACAGAAGCTATTTACGCTTTTTGAATATTCAATATCCTTGGAATCAATCACTCGCCTCCCTATATTGAAAACACCTATACCAAAACAAACATTCGCGAAAAAGATTTTTGCTTAACATTCACTGAATAACGTGGGAGTCGCACGCACAGAGGAAAAAACGATCAAATTTGGTCCAAAACAAGCGGAGAGCAGGCATTAATTATCTATATAGCATGTAAACGATCGCATGACTGTGGAATTAGGTCGAGTGAGACAATGTATAGTGTTAAAAATGTTATCATATCACGACAACACGCGATTTCGCCATACGAGCGGCAAAAAACATCATTTTTTCCTCACCAGCGGCTAATATTCACACCGAATATGCTTCTCGTCAAACAAACTTTAATGTGATATGCTAAATTAATATCAAGCTCAAACAACGCAGGCATACAAATTTCCATAACAAGAAAACTCATGCCGTCCTTCAGTTAAAATTGATGCGGACATGTAAACGAGAAACTGGACGCTACCTTTTTCTCGCTTTCCCCGTCCCCTTTTTTCTCTGTCACTTGGCGATCGTCATCGTTCTCTACATTCTGCTCCGAGCTGGTATCTCCACTATGTTCAACAGTGACGGATAGCCTGCTGTCTTGTTCGCTGCTGCAATCGCTCAGTTCATCCGACTCACTTCTGCTCGTTATAGGACTCGTGTGTCTGGCTTCTTCTGTTTTCGATGTATTCGGACACTCGTTCATTGTACGCTAGCAACTAGCCGCTGAATTTCCACGGCCAAAGTACATGAATTTGTAACGAACGAGCGCTGTTTTGACGGTGATTACACCATGGCGTTCACAACAACCTTAAATTCAACAAAAGATATGCACGTATTAGATTGCTTCAAGTAAAACCTACATCTACGATCTAATTGTATTACCTATATACACGAGTACATTACAGTGGACACCAATATGTTATACTATAGGCAGATCAGCCAAACTGCTGTACACAGCCTTTTCTATGACCGGCTCTCGGTGGCAGGCAACTAATTTCCGATTCAAGCGTGAGGAGATACGACAATTTGACGACCCCTTGAGAGCAGCGACAAGAATGTAAGCAATGCAAACCCGTGCAACAGCGTGTGATTTAATACGTCAATATTGCATCCAGCCCCTTGCAACTAGAACACACGTATCCGTACCCCTTTAAACCTCGTATCTCAATGTGAAAAAACGCCAACAACCTTTGGATATCTTTCATGCACACATAACGCGGGTGTAAAATCTTTTACGCTTTCCCGGGTTTTACCGCAAACAAGTCCAGATGCCGCTAATATAAACACACAACGCGAACGTATGTATACATAAATCTTGGTACAGAGATTCGAAATTACCCAAGTATACGTAGAGCTAAGGAGAAAATGTAGCCCTCAGCTGCATCCCGTTTTTAATATCTACACCAGCAAACAATTTCCCGCCATTGACATACAAATACTATAAATAAACAGTTGAATCCAAGATGGATTATAACACGACAAGCACACGTGAATTATACAACAGATCACACATTTAGTCACGACATTTAATATATGCAACTATATATTCTGTATGTTATGACGGCCGAAACGGGTGGCCGCATTGAGGGCGAAATTAGCTTGAAAAGAAAGTATTACTCAATGTCATCAGTATATTTGCAGCGCGTTGCTCGTCGAGAAATTGAAGCAGGAATAAACATGCTGTGGCATTGTGGATATCTAATGAACCATGCATTGGGCAGACCAGTTTGTCAAATGTATATTTTGTCAAGTTGAATTATACCGAAAAAAAATATGAAACTATATATTTTACAGCCACCATGGCTCCTGGGTAAATTAGAGGTGAAAAAGAAGCCCTCGAAATTGAATATTGAACCTACTGCATGAAATTCTGACAACGAAATTTGACTATTCGTGCTGATGTAGTTCACACTTCATACATCGCAGAGTGGGTTTAACGGCTTAGATCAAACTAGTGCTGAATACAAGAATTATTATAGGAACGAATATTACAGGTTGTTTTGAGGATCCTCTCCCCGAAAAGAACGTAAATGGGTGAGGTTTAGCCGTTTTTGGAGGGTAATTCACATTATTTTGACACAATTCTGCAACTAGGTGTCGAAGGAACCTAACGATTACAAAAACACCCACCTCTCTTCGTCGATGTGCGAGGATTTATCCTCGCCAACTTAAAAAATACAAGGAAAATTCTAGTGTAAATTAATGCATACGTTTATCAAAAAGCGTATCTACATAGTTCGTATATTTATATATATATAAACGAAAGGGAGATGTTGGGAGTAGGTCAAGTTTTGAGGAGTTGAAGCATCATTACCTGATGACCAAATTTGGAAAAGATATACAATCAAGTCAGTATAGTAAGGATATACATGGAAAAAAGGGTGTTTGAAGGCATGTCTTTACTATGAATAAAGTACCAGGAATATTCATTATATAAATAGGTAAATAAACGACCGAGAATGCGTTCATATATAGCGGAGAAATAAGTCGATAAATATACGCCAGGGGTGAGATTTAAACACATTTTGGCATGATCGCATGTCTATAGTGAAAAGTCAAAATCACAGAATATGACACAGAACTGTTTAAACACTCTTTGTATGAAAATTTAATTTGTTTCGTTTTCAAATTTCATCCGCAGCACGAGATATTTGGACAAGAGTGATATTCAAATGAGATCAATTTTGACACAAATTTTTCTAATCGGTATAATTTGCAAATCGATTTTTTACGGTTTTCAACAAAAATCATCAGTCATTTATATGCAGTGCTTAGATAAATAGAGCCTTTGAATGGCGAAAGTTTGCGTAATTTTTACTAATTTATACTGAAATTACATGCAATTGTGGAATGAAAATTAAAAGAAATGCTGCCAAGAATTATCTTATTTAAATATTACTCTCGTCCAATATCTCATGATTTACATATTGAGAAAAAATAATTTGATTTACTCCTTACGACAGTAATTTTATACGGGTGCTTAATAGGCGGACAAACATATTTGTGTCATATGCACTTAAATTTGAAGAAAACTCGTTTACGGTCAACGTGAAATCCGAAAATATAGTAGCTATATATATATATCAACACCAGCAAGCTTACTATATCATGCACTGATGCCAAGTTGGAAAACAAGGAATGGTGCAGGTTGATTTAATTCAAAATTCATTCTCAGAAAGTTGCATGAGACTTTAAAAATCCAAAGCAAATGGTCACCTGATCAAATCAAAATTAAATATAATCATGCAAGAACAATATGTCGAGCGTAAGGCTGACCGGATGCACATAACTTGTAACAACGAAAATCTATCCATAGCAATAAAATAACTTCGCTAAACAAATTTCAGCAACAATTTGAAAACAAATAAAGCTATAACAACCATAATTTTTATCAAGAGTTCAAGTAAAATAGTGATGGCGCATATATACCGAGCAGTATATATAGTAATACAGAATATTAATGTTCACAAGCACATTATGTTTCGCAGAAGAACGTTTCATTGAAGGTTTTCCTAACAACACTGGACGCGGCAAGTAGTACACGTGACAAAAATAGTTGAATAACTTACATGCATTGAGGATTTAGACATTCCGCATATCAAATATTCATTGGTAAAATACGCCCTGTTTAGTGAAAATAGTTGACGCAGCAAGAGGTAAAGAAAAACATGCAGCATTTTCGTGACATGGCAACAACTACAAACAAAATACATATACTATATCTATACAACAATGAATTTTTTTTAGGACAATGACAAAGGTATTTTATTGACATGCCGTGAAATAGAAGTGTTTGAATGTCATTTTTCAATTTCACTTCGGCATAACATATGCCAGACAGGCTTCAATGAATGTACTATTAATTGTCTGACAGACTGGTTCATCGCATGAGATTTTGAGCAAAACGAAACCATTCAATTTCTTCAAAGCAATTACAACGGTGTCAGTGTGATCCGTGTATACTGCTGCTGCTGTTCTATCCTATATCATGGCATGGAACCGGAAATGCGAGTATTGGTGGTCAATAGTCACTTATTTTCCCATATAAAATATCAAAATACGCTCTTAACATAAAAATTCGAATTCAAGACGGGTTTTTTTTTACTTGTTCGCTGATAGATATTTACATGTATAATCATCGCGCCATCGTGATCCACCTAAAGTGCTTATTAATACGTTACCTAAAATGTATAAAATGCTTCCCATTTAGCACAAGGTCAAATGCTTCAAGAAGCATGATCGCACAAAAAAAGCTTTCGATAAAATGATATTCAAGGTAAACCACAAGCCAACTTTTTGTCTGTCCATTAGCTGAACTTTACAAATGAAAAGATTACGACTTAAAAAGACTGTCCGTTATCGAACCTAAAAGGAACTTGGGCGAAGTCGAACTGCATGGACTTTTAGACACAAGGTTATTAAAACCTTGGGTCACTTGTAGCTACCTTTAACCATACAGTTTGTAACAAAATTAGCCAATCAGAATCGCGTGTTTTGAAATTAACCAAGACTTAGGTAACTAGCCAGTACCCAAAAAGCAATCACCCAAAGTTTCACACGATCGGCCCCTTATGTATATAATATTCCCTGAGTATTGATCTTTTAAATCAACACCTGCACACCTTCGGCACTATAAAATGAAACTATTAATGCTTATGAAAATGCACGAAAGAGTACATATTTGCAGTCTCGTGCATGCTTACAAAGTTTATTATTAATTTGTTTTCTTTAACCTTAATGATACATAGATGGCACAAACATTTGTTGACGTATTAAAAAGAGCTCTGAGAATTGCAAATTAATTTCGTTTCCAGACTTCAATTAGTACCTTCCTTCCTTTGCAGAATAATTAGATTTTCTTGATACGTTTATGCCGTATAGTTGACGTCACATCTTATAGCTAAGTCCTCACGTACTAGAAAATATCTTTAAAATCATCCAGTGGATGACAGGCAGAACCGTGCCTCCGACGAAGGTTGTCTACAGCATAACCGGAAAATTCAAGATATATGTTTGGCAGATACTTTACATTTTACAAATGTTCATTAAACAATGTGTGACGTCAATTTGATCGCAGCTCTCCTCAAGAAAACTGAACTATCGCACGAACAGACCATGTTACAGAGCAGTTTTTAGAGATCTTTGCAATGCGTCGATGTTTCGTGCATACAATATGTACAATTTAATAAAACAACAATAATAAACACGGCTACAGATATGTTAGACCTTTAAGACGTGTCCGCACATTGTCATATACGAATATGATGCTAGTGTTTCACTGCCTGCTTCAGTTATATATTGTAAATTTTTGAAAACTTAAATACATTCGTTTCATTCAAAACCAAACTCGATTTTATTTATGTCACTCAAAACGAAACTCTATTTTACTCATGACTGATTATTAAAACGATGGCATGACACTGCTAATAGGGTGAAGGAAATTTATCAAAGTTATTTTCATTACCATAAGATTAGAAGATTACTCATAAGGTAGTCATTTTGTACGTCGTGATTACTGCAAGATAAAGGAAGACAATATTCCGCCACGAGTTGCTAGGGTTGGGTATTTTATTTACCCTACACGAAGGTACTAGCTATATGCAAAACGCCAAGACAAGATGATATCAAAATTCGTAAGAATTTGCTTTACTCTCTAAAATATACAGCATGAGATTCGGTAGTAATAGGAGCAGATAAACAATTCTGTCGTAATTAAAGTTTAACTCTTGAGTATGTATGCAATGTATATACCATGAAAATATTTATGAAAATAAATATACACAAATTAACACACTATTGACATTGCAGTTAATCGTCGTGTAATCAGATGAAGTATATAAAGTTGTATAGTATTTCTTTTGAAAATATAAATGTTTTGGAAGTAGGAAAGACAAATTTTCAAAAACAAAAAGAAGATTCAGTCCTGCGCTGACAAACCTAATTACGATAAAAAATTTACCTTTATACGAAATTTTTACAATCCCGCCATCAATTCTTATCGGCCGTATACGTGTGAAAATGGTAATTATACTAATTATATGCATACAACATACATATACAAAACACCCAGCAAAGCTACGCCTATACGAAAATTCAAAATCCTCCGAAGATTCGAAACACTTGCCAGTACAACAACGAACCGCCGAATACTTTTA